TGCCCCCCAATTCTCTCCCCTCTCCCCTGGTATTTGTGAGCGAGCAGCTGCATTTGGCTGCCAGCCCAGTGCCAGCCCAGTGTAACCACCACACTTTACAGCTTGTTTTTCCCCTGCCTGTCCATACCCGTGACCTCCCAGCAGCGCGGTGAAGGATACAATGATGTTCCAGGGACCAAGCCGAAGCCAGTTGGGCCAGAAACCTTTATAGAGTGCAAAGAAGCCCTCACTCTTCCACGTCTGGGAGGAGAGAAGAGACAGATCAATTGTGAGACACACCAGGTCCGTGCTTGGCCCATCTCCCTAACGCCACGTGTGATCTAACAGACCTTTACTGCTGCTGCAGGGAGTGGAGGGGCCAGTGGAGATGAAGTTCAGTTGTGTCACAAGAACCTAATCAAACTGCATCACTGACTAAGTTCTGTCCTGGAAGTTTGGGAGGGTGCTCAAGCTGATGGTGACTCTAAAAGCCCTTCTCTGTTTGTCTGTGTCTTGGTTTTGCTAGGATAGGGTTAATTTTCTTCTCACTGACACACACATGCTGTCAATGCATGTTCTGTCCAGGTAGAATCTAACTGCTCTTACCAGTGGTGCTGGGATCTGGCCAAGCCACCTAAAGGACAAGGGTTTGCCCACCTCTGCCACCTCCTCACCTTCACCAGCCCATCCAGAGTGCCCTTGTAGAGCTCCGTGCTGCCCACAATCGCCCGCTGGTTCATCATCCGTGTCCGCACCACGTCCACAGGGTTGGAGGCGATGGCACCAGCCAGCCCACATGTAAAACTGGAACTAGAGAGACACCAAAACAGGAGAGAGGAACAGCTTTGGACACAACTTTGCTGGCTCAGGCCCTCAGACCAGCACAAGAGAACATCTTTCCCTGGGTTTTATGAAAGGCATTCAGCAAGAAATATGTTCCCACCCAGAAAAGAGGCAGAGGCACCACCACAGGACCCCAGAGCTTGGGGAAGGGGATAAAACCCTCAGCTTTGTCTAATTAAAACCCTTTGTCTAATTAAGAGCCCACTGCTGGATCTCTACAGCCCAGCAAGTGTCTCTAGGTGCTGTTCAAGGTGACACAGACCTGAAGGCAGCCTCTTGGAAGCGCACATCCTTCTCACCAGAGGAAACATTTCTTCAGAGCAGGGGAAGGAGGGAGAAAGACCCCAAGGCAGCAAAAGGGAGCATGCAGCTGCTAGTCTCCTCCCTCCACGTATGCTCTGGTGCTTGTCACCTTCAGCCCACAGCAGGCAAACCCAAGAGAACCACTTGCAGCACCTCCAGCTAAAGTGTCTGCCAGAAGAATAGGAAAATGTAGGTGAAAAAAGATTTTGGGGAGGTCTCTAACCCACCCCCTGCTCAGAACAGGCTGATTTCAAAACTGGGTGAGATCGTTGAGGATCTGGTCAGCTCTGCAAGTCTCAAGTTCAGCTCACAAAGCTCTTACAGCAACGGCTGCAAGTTCATACAGATGAGGACCTAGGACTGGAGTAGCCCTTTCAACTGATGGCCACAGGTAGTTACACACCCAGAACATGGAGTCACTGCACTTCTGGTCAGCACTGAGCTGAAATCAAGCTGATATTTCACATCACCAAAGGATTTCTGCCAGGGAAGGTCTCTCTGGAGATACTTGCTGGTCATTCTGAGCTGCTCCAGTTGACACAGCAGATCCCCCAAAAGTACCAAGCCTGTTCCCCACAGCTCCAGAGCATTTGCTCTCTAAATGGGTGTCACCCCAAATCCCACCTTACTCCTCTGTTTCACACACCCCTGCCAAGCCTGGAGAGTGCAGCAGCTGCAGCAAATACTCACACAAAGTGGGCAAAGATGGTGTCACCCATCAGGCCAGACAGAATTAAGTGCTTCTTGGTGATGTCGTAGACTGGCAGTTCCACCCCCACCACGATGGCAGCTCTCTGAGCTGTTGGGACAACACCCTGCAGAGCACAAACATGGGTCACAAACACAACCTGCTGCCTGGGGACTGTACCTAGTGTAGTATTTCCCCTCAGCTTCCTCTCAAGGGCCTTTTGCTGACAGTTTACCTTGAATCCTCCTTGCCTTGTGTCCTGGTTTCACTGGGATACAGTGAATTTTCTCTCAGCAGCCAGAGTAGCTGTGGTTTAGGTTCAGTGTGGGATTTGTTAGGAGAAGAATGTTGAGCAGGTACTAATATCATTCCCTTACGCCAGCCAGGTTAACTACACGCTGCTTCTCTCCTCCCAGTCACCAGCATACAGGAATCAAGCTAGAAACCACTCACCTTCCCCCACTGAGCAGTCCCCACATGAGAAGAGATGCACCACAAGAAGAGCAGCTGCTCAAGGTGGGGCCCCAGGTCCTCCTTGCTATGCAACAGCAGAGAGATTCTGATTCTGCTTTGTTAAGGTTTTTGATTTAGATTTTCATGTATTAAAAGGGTTGGTGCCAGCAGGACGTTGATCTGGGAACTAGATCAGCAAGACAATTAATGGCAGAATTATGAGCTTAAGTAAGAGGAACCAGGTACCTTCTGTCTGAGAAACGTCCCATCATCAGGAACCAGATAAAAATAAGTGCAATTTTTTATTGGCTCGGAGAGCAAAGAGAATGTGGCAGCAATGAGGGGTTCGGGCCACTTCACAGGAAGTGTTACCACCACCCAAGGAATTCAGGGAGACCCATGGTGCCACGAGAGAGCTCCCTGGGACTGACCCTTCAGTGATGAGCCATCAGGACCATCAGCTTTCTCACCACACAAAACCAAAGTGACTGTAAGAAGTAAAAGTACTTTTTCAGGTTTACTCCTGCTCCTGCTGTCCCCATCCCACTGCACCTGAGAGTTTCCCATGGGTTCCTCCCTAACCCAACCCCGGCACCACCAGCTCAAACATCCCCACGAGATGAATGTCAGAACTGGTGAGACTGGTGAGCACAAACATCTTTGCTTCAAGGTGAGGGAAGACTGGAGGGAGAGGAGACAGTGGTTGACCCAGATCAGAGAGCAGTGAGCAGCTTCATCACTGAGAATCCACCTCGAGAGAGACTGATCTGTCTCTGCACCGTGTCCTGTCTGCAGCAACACCCCAGAGGGTTTCATTTCTCTTCTAGTCTCTCTTCTCCTCTTTCCTGTCTCTGTCAAGAGAGCAGAACTAATCACAAAGTAAATATCAATCAAAGTTGGCAGCTGATTGACTGCTCCTGCCCTTCCCACACAGGACACTGCAACAGCTTTCTTTCTGGAAAAGACTTCAGTGACCTTCTCCCTTCAGAGGGAGAAATCAGACTGTTGCCTGGAAAAATCATTGGGACTCTGCATTTCCCACACCTGACCTTGGGACTCTGGATAACTGAGCACATGGAAGACTTGTAATGGAAGAACAAAGTGAGGTTCTCTAACAAAAGCCAAAGAACCACTGCTCAAATCCAAACAGGAAGGCTTGAGCACTGGTGACTCTCATCTGCCTTCAAGGCCAAGAACTTTACATCACCAGCTTCCCCAAAAGCCACCACTCTGTCCTACTCTTTGCACGCTCAGAGGGCAAGTTCCAAAGGCTCTAAGATGAGGTAAGAGGGGACACAGGACAAATCTGTCCCTTTGGAACTTCAGAAAGTTACTGGATGTCATTAGTGTCTCTTGGGTTAGGTGGAAGAATCTTCCTCCACGTGAGGAGATGCTCAGAGGCAGGTAAACTGTCCTGCTCCCTGCAGGCAGGATCACCTGGAATTGACTCCAAGATACACCAGGCAGAGCATGGAGAGGATCCAGCCCCAAATGCTGGTGTCTGGATCCTCATGTATTTAAAACTTACTGCACATCAGCTTCAGTCCTGGAAATCAGATCTGCCTGGCCCAGTGCTGATGCTGCCATAGACCAAATCTCCATGTGCTTCTGGTTGTCCAGTAACCAGGAGCAGAACTTTGCTACTACCCTTGGTTCACAGTTCTCTTCAAGAGCTGTGAAGAAGGAAGCTGTTAGTTCTGCTACTGGGATGTGTTGGGTTTGGTGGGAGTGATTTTAGTAGTGAGGGAAGGGGCTACAGTGATGGTCCCTGTGAGAAGAAGCTTCAAGAAGCTCCCCTGGCTCCAAGGTGGACCCACCTCAAGTCCAGGCTGAGACAGCTGGTGACAGGGAAAGGTCTCTGTTGTCAGATGTGGGTGTTGTGTCTCACTGTCCTACTGGGATTGACTGGGAACTCATGAAATGGCTTTTTCTTCCCCAAGTGGAGTCTGTGTTGCCCGTGCCCATCCCTGGTGAGTGAGCCCTCCCTGTCCCCATCCCAACCCACCAGCCCTTTGCTGGGTTCCTCTCCCCATCTCAGCGGGTGGAAGGGGGGAGTGAGTGCAGGATCATGGGTGAAACCACATAGAAGGAGTTTCCAGCAGCTGGTGCTCACCCTCCAGAGGCCTCGGGTACCCTCCTGCTGGTAGATGTCGATGAAGCTGCCAATCATGCCACCCTGGAATAAACTACCTTGAGCCTGCATTCGAATCTGAAAGAAACATCATAGTCAGAGGGACAACATCAGCACCCACCCAGGAGAGCAGATACCAGCTCAGTGGACCTGCTGGTAGAAAGAACAACAGAGCAGCTCAGAGCAGATGCCACCATCCACGTGCCCTCTCCCTGCAAACCACACAGCAAATGATGATGGCAGGTGAGGAGCAGGGAGAGCAACAGCAAAACTCAGCCAAGACAGAGAAGTGACAAGAGAAGTCCTCCCCACTTTGAAAGCAGTCTGAGAAGGGTCTCTTGGCCACGTGCACTTCTTACCTTCAGCACGTCTGTCGGATTGGCAAGCGCAGAGGAGATCACTCCCGAAACCACCCCGCAGATTACATTGATTAGCAACGTTTCATCTGCAATCAAGAGAAGAAAATCAGACCCTAAAGATCTCAGGATCCTAAAGATCTCAAGATCCTAAAGATCTCAAGAGAAAGGTGCACAAGATTGTACCCAACAAGGGAGAAGCTCTGGGAAGAGCAGAGAAGCTCATGTCACAAATCATGGTGAAGCTGCATGAGCAAAGGCTGGCCAGATGCCACCAACTCATGGCAGATCTGTCCCCACACCTGCCAGAGACAGAATGCAGCAGCTGAAACCCTCAGCAACACGCTCTCCGAGAGAGAAGCGGCTCTTACTGATGAGTCAAGCCGATCAGACAAGGAAAGGACCACGATACGTGACAATTTTGAACAATTATCTGAGATTTCAGTGGCCAGTGATGCATTTCTCATGATGGGAGACAAGCCAAGAAAAAGGGAGACAGAAAGGGACAAGCCAACGCTCCTCAAGGCAATCTGATACCAATTGGTTTTGATCTGGAGCCCCAGTTGGCCACGTTCAAAACACGCAGCCACCTCGAGAAAACAGAGAATAGGTGACCCAGGCAGAGAAAATTAGATGCAATTAGTTCTGGGTGGAATCATCCAAGACTTCCAGGTCCAATATTAGGTTGATGGTTACGCTGGGGGAAAAGTCACAGCCTTTTGCTGGTACTGACCACAACACTTCCCAGAGGAGACCAGGCCACTGGCTGCTCCCCAGGCCTGTAGGGAGACAAACATTCGTATCACAACTGGAAACACTGGGAGAGCAAGAGAGGAGAGACCCAGGACACCAGCGCACCAGCACAGAACCAACACGCAGGGACAGGGGTTCCTGGAGAAGGGAGCAGCCTGGAGAGAAGCTCTAGTGCTCCTCACTTCCCTGGGTCAGGACAGAGTTACAACATCCACTCGTGGAACACATCAGGGTTTAAAACTGCGCGTGGAGATCCTGCAGCAAACACGTTCCAGGCTCCTGCTGCTCCACTCTCCAGGCAGGAGCTGCAGAGGTTCTCGTTCCCAGAGGAGCAGAGGTCAAGAGCATCCTCCACATCCCACCTCCACAGTCAGAGCCAACACCAAAGAGCTGGGCAGGACAATTTCTATCCCGTGTGACTCAAAGGCTCCAGCAGGAGAGATGCTGCTGAAGCTTTCAGTCCATGTAACACATCTGATGTACAGTTGGGATGGGATGTCATCCAGGTTGGATGAGGCTTTGAGCAACCTGGTCTAGTGGAAGGTGTCCCTGCTGCTGGCAGGGGGGTTGGGACTGGATGAGCTTTAAGGTCCCTTCCAACCCAAACCAGTCTGGGATTCTATGTCTCCCCCAAGACTAATCCAGCAAAGAAGTGAGCTTTGGGGGTGTCACCTTTTTTGATTAAAATAAATATCAAAATAGCTTTTTGATTTTGGGTTCTGACGTTGCAAACCGGAGATAAAGGCTGGAGAAAGGACAGGACAGGCCTGGTGGGGACTGTGGGCAGAGCAAGGTTGACATCAGTTCTGAAGCCATCAAGCTTTGGTACAAACGAAACCACAGTGCAAAGGGACAAGGATTCAATTTCTGTGGGAATCTGGAACTGGGAAGGATGGAGAAGGAAAAGAGGGAACCTGCCCAGCACGGGGAGAGCAGGAGGTGGCTCCGGTGAGACGGGAGGTGCCCGCAGGGACACGTTTCTTGTCACTGACCTTCCATGCGATCCACAAACAGTCGTTTCAGGCTCTGGTAGATGCCGATCTTGATGGTGCCGTACGACGCCTGTCTCAGCAGCGCCGGGGCGATCCTGAAATGGGGGGGGAACAAGCAGAACCATTAAACCCAGCAACATGGTGGTCCTGGCAAACCCAGCACCAGTCCATTCCCCATCTGCAAGGGGCTGGGCACAGCCCTGCCACGGTGCTGATGCTCCTGAGAAGGGCAACCCCCCCGGGATAGCACCCCTGGGTGACCCAGCAGCACCCTCGGGGTGTCCCCATGCACCCTCCCGTGTAGGAGCCGGGCACCCACGTGAGTCCTCGCTCCCCATGCGGGAAAACCGGGAGTCTCAGCACCGGTACCCCAGGCTCCCGCTGTCCCTGCAGGGCTCTGGGATGGCTGGATC